TCTTCCTGCTCTTGTCGACCCTAAGTCGGACTCTCTTCGTGCTGCCAGTCCTACTGTCACGCGTCTCCTTGCTACTGTCGTCACTGACCCTTCCTTCGAGTCTTCTGCTGCGTCTGCCCTAGTTGCTGAGCTCGTCGACTTTGCTGCTCTCTGTCGTCTAGACTACGCTGCTAGTCTTGTCGCTGAGTCTGAGTATGTCTGTCCTTCGTCCGTCGGGGGTGCGTGTGCCCTTGGCACGGACGTCCTTGAGGACACGCAGGAGGAGTTTCAGTGCTTGGCTGCCGCTTCACCTCATCTCGCGTCTGTACTGCTAGCCCCTGAGGGAGACCCGGATGCACTAGACATCCCGACTCCGCGCTCTTACGCGGAGGCGATAGAGGGTCCCTACTCCTCTCAGTGGCAGGCAGCTATGGATGCAGAGATGGCTTCCTGGAAGTCCACAGGCACCTACGTTGACGCTGTCCCCCCTCCTGGGGCGAACATCGTCAGTGGCATGTGGATCTTCAGGGTGAAGCGGCCGCCGGGTTCTCCGCCTGTCTTCAAGGCGCGTTACGTGGCTCGTGGCTTCAGTCACCGGCAGGGAGTTGACTACTTTCAGACCTTCTCCCCCACCCCGAAGATGACCACTCTTCGGGTACTCCTGCACGTTGCTGCTCACCAGGACTACGAGCTTCACTCTCTCGACTTCAGCACTGCTTTCTTGCAGGGCAGCCTGCACGAGGAGATCTGGCTGCGTCGCCCACCTGGCTTCACTGGGTCTTTCCCTCCTGGTACCCAGTGGAGTCTCCGGCGTCCAGTCTACGGTATCCGCCAGGCGCCACGTGAGTGGCACGACACACTGAGGACCACGCTGGCGGCACTTGGGTTTGCTCCTTCTACTACCGACCCGTCGTTGTTTCTGCGCACCGACACTTCTCTGCCGCCGATCTACATCCTCGTGTACGTCGACGACTTGGTCTTTGCCACTGTTGACACTGCTGGACTCGCCTACGTGAAGTCCGAGCTGCAGAAGAGACACACGTGCACTGACCTGGGTGAACTGCGCAGCTACCTCGGCTTGCAGATCACCCGGGATAGAGCACGCCGCACCATTACCCTGACTCAGTCACACATGGTGCAGCAGGTCCTTCAGCGCTTTGGCTTCACGTACTCCTCGCCTCAGGCCACTCCTCTGTCTACTCGCCACTCGCTCTCAGCTCTGCCTTCGGATGAGTCCGTAGAGTCGAGTGGCCCGTACCCAGAGCTTGTTGGCTGTCTCATGTACCTGATGACCTGCACACGACCTGACCTTGCATACCCTCTTAGCATTCTTGCACGCTACGTTGCTCCTGGGAGACACCGACCAGAGCACATGGCTGCAGCGAAGAGGGTGTTGCGCTACTTGTGCAGTACGTCGGGCATGGGACTAGTGCTTGGAGGGCGGAGTCCAGTGGTCCTCACTGGTCACGCGGACGCTTCTTGGGCTGACGACCAGGCTACGCAGCGGTTGTCACAGGGTTACACCTTCAGCCTTGGTTCCGGCTCTGTTTCGTGGCGGGCTACTCGCTCGTCTTCTGTTCTCGGCTCCAGTTGTGAGGCTGAGATCTACGCAGGGGCCATGGCTGCTCAGGAGCTTCGCTGGCTCACCTACCTGCTGACCGACCTTGGAGAGCCGCCTCGTTCTCCTCCAGTCCTGTACGTCGACAACAAGGCCATGCTGGCCTTGTGTCGAGAGCAGAGACTGGAGCACAGAACAAAGCATATTGCTCTCCGCTACTTCCTTGCTCGTGAGCTACAGCAGCGTGGTCAGTTGCGACTTGCGTACGTGGCCTCTAAGGCCAACACTGCTGATGTTTTCACCAAGGCACTTGCGCCTTGTGATCATCAGCGCTGCTGTACCCAGCTGGGTCTTGTGTCTGTCCTGCCTCACTTGCTCTCCTCTTGACCCTCTTTGTAGTGTTACATATATATCACTGCTCTTGCTTGTTTAGTCTTATATATATATGTACATATATATATGTACTCCTGCATGTGAACTGGCCTTGTGGCCTTGAACTTGTGCTCGGATTGTGTGGTGACATTGTGATCCACCCTGAGCTTGCTTTGCTTTACTTGACTGGTCTTGTGACCCCTAGTTCTCCCCCACTTCGCCTATGGGGGTGTGTCAAACATTATATATATTGTTGTAGTTGTTTAGGCTACAGTGGGTTAGCCTATAGGGGGTACACACTTCTAGGTTTGCATATTTGTACTCATTTCATTCTTAGTCATTTCATTCCTTGTTCAACATTGTCTACCATCCGAAGATCTTGGAACTGCTCGGCTTCGGCCGTCTCCTTCACAGCAAGTGCTTCGCTGCAAGCAATAGTGGGGTGAGCAGAAAAGGATTGTTACATTACTTTAAAGATCGACTAACGTAAAACCGGTCGTTTAAAATTATCAGCCACGACACAAGTACCGATGCGCAATGCAGTGGCAGCCGACGAGGTGGGGGCGTGGACGCGCAGTCGCATGACAACGCCGGACGTGCCCCCGATCATCACTGCCGCGTCGTCCGTGGACATTCCGTAAATCTTCTTCAGGTCGACGCCCACTGTCCCGAGATGCTGGAGTAGTGCGCCCATGAGCAATGCCGCATCACATTGCTGCACGGTTAGTAACGCGAGGAACTCGGTTACAACCACGCTGTTCTTGAGGAACGTGACAAACACAATCATGTGTTTGCCACGGGCGCGATCGGTACTCTCGTCGCACATGAGACCGATGAAGGGCGAGGCGTGGAGGACGCGCAATTGCTCCCTGGTCAGATATGCGGTGAGAGCCTAGGCCATCTCGGAGAAACCGTACCTGCGCATTCATATAGCACAAAGCATTAGCCTCGTTAAACAAAGACGGTTGCTTCGAATACAAACCAGTCAACAGCAACTCACTGCGTGATGTATACTCCATAGCTTTGTTGCGGAATGTTGGCGACCCCCTCCTCTGCGAGAAGCTGCACGACCTGTGGGTACATGTGGATGGGTGTGTCGGTACGGCACACAAAACGCATGGCGCGCATGAGTACCGCGACGCGACAGCCTTCCGAATCTCCATTCGCGAAGTCTTCAATCTTCTTCTGGTCCACGATCTTCTGCAGAAGGTTTGCCTGCTTTTTCATGGCGTCCTCGTGCTTCGCGCTGTTCTCGTGCCACCGCATCGACCCGATCTGCAGATCACGACCGCCAGCGCCATTGCAACCGTAACGCGCGTTGTCCCTCCCGTGCTCCATGCAGACACTGCAGCGCAGGCACGGGTCACCCTCTGGCGTCTTGTCCAGAATCAGCCAGTCAAACTTCGGCAGCCAATTAGACTTGTAGCTCTTCTGCGCCTTCAGGTACGCCTTCTCCTTCTTCTCCTCGTCTGTAAGGGGACGAATGGGGGGTGGGGCAGCACGGGGAGGTTGAGCGATGGGCTTCGGAGGCGGTGTTCCCCACTGCAAAACCTGCTGTGTGTGCCGTCGCTTCTTCGAAGCGACTGAATAGGATGACTCAGGAGTGGCCGCATCGACGACCTGCGTTGCAACCGTTTCGGCCGGCTCTGCAGCAACCTCGTTTCGCGGCGAGGCGATCCACTCCTCAACACCGTCGGACTCAGCAGCGTCATTCATCGGGCGCGGAGAAGGACACCAATCGTCGTACGCATCTTCCATGCCGCCACTCTCCTTGCCAGGACGGCGCATCCATTCGGTACCGCCATCGGCCAGCTCCTCCTCATCGCGAGCGTTATCTGCATGCACAACGCGGAGAAACTGAAGCCCTGTCGTAGGGGGTGTGATACATGTCGGCCTGTCGTCGGGATCAGCCGCGTCTCCCTCGGCGTCGCTAGTATCCATGATATTGACGGCAAAAAAAAAAGGTTAGGGAGGCGGGTCTGTGGCTGGAGAAGCCCTCGGAACACTCGCTAGACTGGAACGTTGAAGAGCAGTGCTGGGTGGAAGAAACATAATGGCTCAGACAGGATGGGGTTTGGTGGTGACCCCGTATGCCTGCCGAGCAACAGGTGTGGATGTGCACGCCGCGCACGAATTCAGTGCACCACAGGAAGCTGCCGTATCATGCCCGAAAGTTGAAGTTGTTCATTGCTGATGGGGTACGCAAAGCCATCGATGTATCCACTGGGTGGCCAGTTGAGTGCGCTGGCACGAAATATGCCATTCCGGCCAATCGGCACCTCAGGTTGTGCCAACACACGGGCAAAACAACACTGATATCCCCTGCGCTCCGGTCCAAACCGGCATCGTGGGGATAAGGGGGACCTAGGGGGGTCGGGGGGGTACATGTATCCCCCGTTCAGAGTAAACTCACTATTCGAGAAAGGAATACTGGCGCTCCAGAGTGAACTTACACAAAAACCCTGGCTGATCAGAGAACAAGTAACTCTAAAAAAAAATACCCAGCAGGTACAGAGTGCCCCCCTAAAAACCACTCTGATTTTCAGAGAAACATAGTAAATTACACTGATAAAAAAACCCCTGGTCGCAAGAGTCAACTGTCGCGACTGCTGACCATCTGGACCGACGTTTGACTTACCATCGAGGAATAGCAACAGGCGTAACCGTATGTACAAGTTACATGCAGCGACTCGGTAACAAGTAGTACAGCAGTCAGAGTCACTGTAGAAATGCCTGTAAAACAGTTAGAATAAAGGAATGTACCCCTCAGAGTACATGGCTAGCTAGGAACTATTTATTATGTGTGCAATCTCTGTTTTATTCAACGTTGTCATCTGCATTCACTCTGATCAGAGTTCCTACAACTAAGACTTCTGCTACTAAGCTCTTCTAAGGCATTCCTATCCTATCCAAAGGTCCTTTACTCTAACACAGTATACACCTTGTGGCAAGCCAATCTCATTGGTTGCCAATGCACAGCATGCTGACACTTGTAATTGTGAACCACCGTCCTCCAATGCAACTACAAGGTACCACCCCTCACTGTCCTGCCCTAAGCACCAGACCAGATCGGTATTCCATTACCATACACCTATTCCCTGCCAGTTTGCAGCGGCTGCTGCTGCTGCTGCTGCTGCTGTGCCATGTGTCTTTCTTGCTGCAATGCAATCCCACGTGGCTGCAAGCTCTCCCTCTCTTGAAGCACTAACGCACCGCCCTGCAGAGTTGTCTCCAGCGCCGCCCATCCCCTTCTGCTAGCTGCACCCGTGTCTGAGAACCGCCTTGCAGCCCCGGGCCGCGACGGCCTCACACGCATGCGCCCGGCCTCCCTCTCCCCCACCTCCCTCACCCCGGCCTCTCTCTCCCTCATCCCACCCATGGACTTGGACTTCCCCAGCACCACGCCCGCCCCTGCGCCTGCTCGCCTGCCTATGCCCCACTCGCGGCCCCCCTGCGCCCTGGAGGCCCCTGCTGCTGCCGTGGCTGCAGCTGCAGCGATCCCAACAGTCCCTTCGGTGGCTGCTGCTGCCGTGGCTGCAGCCGAGTCAGCGCCTGGCGTGGGAGGAAAGGCCCGTGCAGCAGGTGGCAAGGGATCCGCCCCACGGCGCGGGAAGTGGGCAGACGATGTGGAGTGGCCTGTGGGACAGGGAGGCAGGCCGGCACGGGAAGCAGCACTTGCAGCACCTGTAGCACCAGGTGCCGAGGGAACGCGGTGCAGATGGAGTGGGGGGTGAGGACGGCCGGCTGTGTGCTGCAGGGAATGCGACCGGGCAGCAAAAGCACCAGCTGCTGCTGCCGGTGGTGCTGCCCCGCCTGCATATCCAGCAGCCCCCTCTTGCAGGGCAGTGTAGTGCTGCCCCCAAGCCCCAAGAGCACGGTGCCCCATAGGTTCATTGTCACGGGGTACTGTGCCATAGTTGCCTTGAGCGTCGAGACTGGTGTGGTTGGCATAGTTGCCGTGAGTGCCATAGTAGGAGGCAGAGGGCAGCACGTGGGGCAGGCTGGCAGCATCAAGGAAGACGTTGAGCTCGCCGCCCGGTGGCATGGCAGCAGCGGAGAGGGAGAGGTGGTGGGGGAGGGGCTGTGCGCTGTCGCCCTCGCCAATGTCGTCGTCCGTGCCGCCCTCCGACAGGCTGAACGACTCGTCACTCGCCACTGAGCCCTCCTGGTGGCCAGTGAGTTTGCAAGGGGGGACACGCGGGACATGCGGGACAGAGATAGAGGGGACACAGATTACCTTCCCGATAAGTTCAAAACCCAGCACACAGGATCACAGCTTCACTAGGACCCCCTCGTTGCATTGCATGTGTCCACCTCCTCTTGCTCAACATACGCATCAAAATGCTTACAGCCTCATTTCTTATGTCTTCATCCCCTCACCTCCTCATCCCCTCACCTCTTCATCCCCTCACCTCCTCATCCCCTCACCTCTTTATCCCCTCACCTCTTCTTCCCTTTACTTCTTCATCCCCTCACCTCTTCATCCCCTCACCTCTTCTATCTCCTCACCTCTTCTATCCCCTCACCTCCTCATCCCCTCACCTCCTCATCCCCTCACCTCCTCATCCCCTCACCTCCTCATCCCCTCACCTCACCTCCTCATCCCCTCACCTCACCTCCTCATCCCCTCACCCTTATCCCCTCACCTCACCTCCTCATCCCCTCACCTCACCTCCTCATCCCCTCACCTCACCTCCTCATCCCCTCACCTCACCTCCTCATCCCCTCACCTCCTCATCTCCTCACCTCACCTCCTCATCCCCTCACCTCCTCATCCCCTCACCTCACCTCCTCATCCCCTCACCTCCTCATCCCCTCACCTCACCTCCTCATCCCCTCACCTCCTCATCCCCTCACCTCCTCATCCCCTCACCTCCTCGTCGTGCTCGGAGCCTTCGGAGGAGAAGGCAGCATTGGAGCTGACGTCAGCAGCATCCCGCATGTGCTCCTCGTCGTCATCACTATCTGATGCCGCCACATGCTCTGATACCTGTGGCTTGCCACGGCGAGGGAGGGCAGAGGAATCTATGTGAAACACACGCTGGCACTGCCTGATGCCGTTACGTGCTCTGATACCTGTGGCTTCACACGAGGAGGAGGGAGGGAGGACGAGCACAGACAATTGTTGTCTGGTTGTCATCTAACTTGCTCCTCATCTGTCTCATTATTGCCAATGCTGACTGACGTGGCGCGTGCTCCAACGCCTGTGCCCACACAAAATGCCTGAAGAGTGGGCAGCAAACACATAGATTGCTTGCCTGTGCATGTGCACACACACAGATTGCAGAGAGCAGAGAGTGAAGCCAGACAGGGCACAGCGGGCGCACCTCTTCCTTCTTCTGCAGGGCGTGCGTGCGGCTGGCAGGCGAGCCGTAGAAGCTGGGCATGTGCGCTGCAAACTGCCCTCCCCCGCTCATCCTCACCCCGTCCATCGCCTTCGCCAGCCGCCCCATGCCCATCCCCCCCATCACCCCCACCTCTCCCACCGCTCCTCCCGCTGCTGCTGCCGCACCTCCTCTCGCCCGCCTCTCCCGCTCGCGCTCCGCCAGGCCCTCCCCCCCGCTGCTGTTGCCCACGTCAGCACTGCGGGGGAAGGCCGTGCGGCCGCTGAAGCGCACGTGGATGGGCGCCAGCACGCTGCCACCGCCCCCACCAGATGCCCCTAGAGATGCGCCTGCACCAGGTGCACCTACCCTGGGCGTGGAGCACGCACTCACCCCAGAGCTCAGCAGCGCACTGGGGGACTCCAGCGAGCCTTCCGTAGCCGACGGGGTCTCTGAGAGGTTCAGCAGGGGGATGGCGACAGCTGGGGGAGGTGGCACCTGCCCGTGCCCTGCCTGCCAGGGAAGACCCTGCGCCCCTGCTGGAAAAGACGCTGCGAAAGCGAAGCGGTCTCTGGGCCCTCTGGGCGGTACCCCTGAACTGTAGCCCGAGGCATACCCGTCTGACAGCTCCTCTGGATACACGCACGCATGAGCTGCGCCTGCTTGTAGAGAGGGCCCCCATGAGGTGGTGCCTGTGCTGCCCTCTGACACTTGCAAGGAGCGCGGCAGCCGGGAGGCCAGTGTTGACAGGGAGGGCGGGCCGTGGCTTTGAGACGCCTCCGTGCCAGGTGGGTCACCATGTGGAGAACCATCAGGTGGGAAGTCAGGTGGGAGGGGTGAGAGGCGAGTGTGGGCAGCAGCAGGCGGGTACGGCTCCCCTGCAGCTGCTGCAGCGCCCGACACGCTGCTATCAGCACCAAAGGCGTACGTGGGGAGGCTGACGGCCCGCGTGGGCAGACCAGAGAGCGGATCCGGGAGGTCAGAGGCAGAGGAGCGCACACTGCCCTCCCTGAGGCTGCCCTCCCTCAGACTGCCTTCTCTCTGTATGACGTAGAGCATGCCTTTGGAGCCGAGTCCAGACGCAGTGTACTGTGTGTCGTACTCGTGGTGCAGCAGTGGCAGCGTGTTGGAGGCGCGGCTGTACATGCTCTCCCCGGCTGCGCGGTGGCGCAGGCAGGCGAACACCGTGGCGTGGATGGCCGCCACGCTCTTGTCCATGTTCGTGTTGTTCACCTGCGAGAGAGGGGGGAGATGGAAGTGTGGGGGGTGGAGGGGAGAGGCGGGGGTTGAAAGCCCTGCTTCTCTACGACACGTGGAAGGGGGCCCAAGACTCCCTCTTCCCCATCCATGCGCTCTTTCAGCAGCAGGGCTTTCAATCCGAAGAAAACCTCCACGTGTCGAATCGAGTCGTGTTGTTCACCTGCGGTTCGCGGGTCCGGCACACCTTGGCCCGTGTGCACAAGGAGGTTCTCAGTTGCAGCCTACTTCCTGAATAAGGTGCATATCGGCTCGCCGGACGAGGTAGTCCTGACTCGCCCGGATGTTGCGCACGTGCTTGTTGCAGAAAAGGGCCCACCATACTGCACCACATGTACGACGCACACACCTTAGGGATCAGATGCTTGTCAGCGCGGCGCACGAGGTAGTCCTGGATGGCGCGGATGTTGCGCATGTAGCGCACGTACTTGTTGCGCCGCGGGTCCAGCGTCATGTACTTGGCGCGCACCGCAAACCGCTCCATGTGCTTCGCCTCGTTGCCGATGTAGATGACAAACGGGATGATCGTGGGGTGCCGTTTCAACAGCTCCATCTGCCATGGTATGGCATGGGGGATGGAGGTGGCATGGGGAATACAAGGGTGAGCCACAGGGGGTCCAGCGTCATGTACTTGGCGCGCACCACAAACTGCTCCATGTGCTTCGCCTCGTTGCCGAAGTTCATCACAAAGGGAATGATAGAGGATGCCGCTTCAGCAGCTCCATCTGCCATGGGGAGGCATGCGGATGCAGGTGCCACGTGGGATGCAGGTGCCACGTGGGATACAGGTGCCACGTGGGATACAGGTGCCATGTGGGATACAGGTGCCACGTGGGATGCAGGTGCCACGTGGGTGGGATACAGGTGCCACGTGGAATGCAGGCAACCCTAAAGCGCACCACAAAGTTGAGGCTGAGGTGAACGCCCTCCACGATGGCGGACTCATGGCAGCGCTCCCACTTGCACAGCAGCTGCTCCACACTGCCTATCACCATCTCACTCTGCGCCTTGTACCCCTGAATCACCATCTCCCTCTCACTCACCCCCTCCCTCTCACTTACTGCCTCCATCTCACTCACTACTTCCTTCTCACTCATTGGCTCCTTCCCATTCACAGCATCCATCCCACTCCCCAAATCTCTCCCTTTCCCTCCACTGCCTCCTTCCCCACTCCTCTCCCTGTCCAAACCTGTCACGCTTGGCCGACCATCCCAAACCGCCTCTCCCATCTCCCTCTCATCCCTCCCACCCCCACCTCCCCCTGTCACTGCAGCTTCTCCCCCGTTGTTCCCTTCTCCGCCTATTTGCCCTTCCCCCACCCGACCCCCCAGTCCTACCGCGCCTCTGCTCTCACCAGCGCCCAGATCCACAGCGCCCTGCATCTCTCTCAGATCCACAGCGCCCTGCATCTCTCTCAGCCGCACCTGCCCCCCAACCTCCCCAGCTGCCAGCCTCCTCTCCCGGCCTCCTTCCCAGTCTCGCTGTGCTGCGGCAGCCTGTGTGTCCGCCTGTGCGCCGCCGTGCTTCCCTCCCAGCTTCTCCGCCTTCTTCCTGGCCTTGGCATCAGCAACAGCAGCGGGGTCGAGGTGTTCGCCTGCCTGGTACGTGGAGGCATACAGCAGCGGGTTGGCCTCGCGGCTGCTGAAGCCGCGCATCATGTGGCGCAGCGAATCCGTCGACACCACTGTTGTGATGCCCAGCCGCGATGCCTGCCGGGGAGGGGGGAGAGGCATACGGGAGGGGGCAGTGGGGGGAGGGGGGGTATGCAAGAGCGGAAGGCAGTTTGCGAGGAGGAGGCATGGCAGTTCTCTGGACTACGGATCGTGTGGTGCACGGAGTGGGTCGACACCGCCGTGATGCCCACCCGTGATGCCTGCACCGGGGGGAAGGGGGGGCAGGAGGGCGCATGTGAGCGAGGTGCCTTCCCCGCTGCTGCCGCCGCCCATGGTGCGTGCGGCATGTGAGGGAGGGAGCATGTCAGGGAGGGAGCATCATGCGAGGGAGGGCGCATGTGAGGGAGGGAGCATGTGAGGGAGGGAGCATGTGACGGAGGGAGCATGTGAGGGAGGTGGTGGACCCGAGAGGCATAGGCGAAGAAGGATGAATGGCAGTCACGCAAGAAGGAAGAATGGGGGGTGGGGAGGGGGAGGCAGAGAGGGAGGGAAAGAGGGGGAGTGAAGAGGGAGGAAGGGAAGGAGGGAAGGAGGGGAGGAGGGAAGGAGAAGGCAGAGCAGAGAAGGCAGGTGTGCAGCATACCAGGAGGGAGGCGAGGGTGGACTTGCCACAGCCGCTGGCGCCACACAGGAACACCGTCACTGACATCTTCCTCTCACGCACCCTGCATGGCAGCAGCAAGCAGCAGCACACAAAGCACGCAATTCCACCACAACGGCTGTGACAGATCAGAAGAACTCAGTAATCTTTACAGTGTGGGCAGCGGTGCAGTGCAACAGTGCAGTGCGGTGCAGAGCGGTATGCAGGGGCTCACTTGCAGGCGAGGGCGAGGTCACTGCGCTGGTCAGCGCTGAGGTAGCGATACTCCGCGAGCGCCTGAGACACCAGAAACAGTAGCGGTACAGTGCGGTGCGGTTTAGTGCGGTGCACTCACTTGCAGGCGAGGGCGAGGTCGCTGCGCTGGTCGGCGCTGAGGTAGCGATACTCCGCCAGCGCCCGGCACACCACGTCCAGAAACGTGCTGCGCTTCAAAGACACGCTCACGCCCCTCACTGTGTCCCCCCCGCCCGCACTCGACCCCCCTGCTGCTGCCCTGTTTTCTGTCCGCTCGTTATTGTCACGGCCATTATTGTCACGGCAACTGTGATTATCATGGCTGGCGCTGGTGGCCAGAACGGCGCCGGAATCCTCTCGGTTTGGCCTGGCCAATCGCTGGGTACTGTCGAATCCGTTTGCCATCCGTGATCGGTGCGCCACGTCCGTCCGATGGCCGGAAACTCGCCGGCTGGTGACTTGCTGCAGCAGCATCTGGAAGACGCGCTCGCTGATCTGCGTGTGTTTGGTGAGGGAGAGGAGCGCAAGTAAGAGAGAAGAGAGGACTGCAAACGTGAAGGCGAAACCAAAAGAACCGAGAATGTCGTGGGTGAGGGTGGAGGTATGCGCAGGTCCCAGTAGGTATGATATGATCTCACGGTGCAACACGGACCGGTCACACCCTGACGGCGTGGCGCGTCTCACCCTGACGGCGTGGCGCGTCTCACCCTGACGGCGTGGCGCGTCTCACCCTGACGGCGTGGCGCGTCTCACCCTGACGGCGAGGCACGTCTCACCTTGACGGCGTGGCGGGACTTGCACCCCATGAGCTGCAGCGTGCTGGACAGCACCGACTTGGTGTAGCGCACCGCCGCACGCGCGCCCTTTCCGCCTGCCTCGGCTGCGAGTTTACTACTACTCCCCGCGCGCTGCTGCTCCCCGTCGTCGTCCTCCACGAGTACGTACAGCAGCTTCGCCAGCACGCCCATCGCTGCTGCCGCGCGAGTATGTACTCCGTCTCAAGGAGTGAAACGAGCGATTTTAAATCAGCCGTCCGACGTCAGGGAAGAGGCTGGGGATTTGCGCAGAAGCTTCGCCTTAAGACGCGCATCGCTCGTGCTGTAACAAACCTCCGCAATTTTACCACCTCCGGAGATGATCAATTCGGGACACGATGGCAGGAAGCTAGTAGTACAGACGAGGTGGTGAGGAAATGGCTAAAGGAAGCCTCAAGTAGCACGATTCCGATCACGAGGGCGAGAGGGGGTTCTACGAGTCGGAGGGAGGTGCTGATGCGTGACGGCTCGGAGGTAGCGGACCGAACCGAACTGGTTAGCGTCGAAGAGAACGAGCTGATGCGTGACGGCTCGGAGCCTCGTGTGTGTGGAGGCGGTGCATGCTGCTGACGCCTGGCTGTTGCCATGGCTGCCGCGGATGCACCACAAGCACACGGCAATCCCAAGGCGTAGTAACAGTCGAGCAAGGCGGCAACCTTTCGAGTCAATATCAACCAGTTCGGTTCGTTTTCACCTGTAAAGTGTGAGCTCTATCCAGAATGGAACATCTGGCAACTGTACCAATTGGACGTACCGAGGCGTCACAAGCACTTATGGATTCACAAAATGGGCCCCAACCATGCACCCCAGACTCGGGGAGCATGGGAACCAGCGGCCGTATGCGAAGCGAATTTCACGAGCGTCGTTAGGCTTCGTCAGCCATCCCGAAGCAGCGCTACTCGAGGCAGCACTGGCAATAGCGCACGAGAAAGTCAGACCTCGTTATTGCGTATATTGCAAGCAAGACTAGACAAGGAAATCCATGTGCCATTCAATCTAATATACTGGATGATGTCTCCAATGGCCCAACTTGTGACGCATTACGTTATCGGAAGGACGCATCCCATGCTTTGCAGCACTATTATTTCACTGTTTCAACACTATCATTGGCAGATATGATAGGTAGCTGAAAATTGGGCTTCCCGGAATTCAGGGATGCAACTGCTCTGGCCCTAACCAGGGCCTACTTTTGAATTTTGGGAACTCTGAATTCCAGAGTGGTTTTTTTGCCAACTCTGGAATCTAGGGTTGTTCTTACGCCTCACTCTGAGTTGTCAGAGTAACCCTATGTTTTGGGAAAAAAACTCAGGCACGTCAGAGTAATATTTTGCTTTACTCTGATGTTAGTTTACTAAGGTGTATGATCTGTATGGCTAATTTGTTACGCCTTTCAGAAACTCCAGACCCGTCATAGGGCGAGAGCTGCATGACGGGCCGGGATCAGGTTTGTTGGGCTGAGAAGCCCTAGGATCTTTGTAGAGCTTAAGGACTGAATAGGATTGTAATAGCGGAAGCGTTGAAGTATACAGTGATTGAACCACCTTGCGCTAGTATGTGAGGGCAAAGTAAGTTGGATTAAACAAGCAAATACAAGGTTTATATAAGAGTACAAGGAATACGAATATATTTAAACCGTTTTACTGTTGCGATTTGATACAGTGCGACTCGGGCAACTGCTCAATGTCGAGTCAGTTGTGTGTCCTTGCTGTCGCGCTGTAATTGTCGAGTTAAAGGTCGCTGACCTTTGACTTTCCCGTAACCTCTAGGCGGTTACCCTAACCTCCGAGGGTTGACTCGCGATGCTTCGATTTGGGCTGCTTCGCTAGTGTCCTGAGTTTCGACACGACAGAGGCGCCTTAAGACTTATTGTTCCCAACACTCCCCTTCGCTTCTGGAGTGTCGCTGATGGTGACGTGGCTTTGTCCAGTCAGCAGCATGTAGTACTCGAACTTCTGTTTTCCGAGCTTCTTGGTCAAATAGTCGGCTGCCATCTCGGACGTGGGACAGTAGGATAACTCGAGTCTTCCTTTCGCGATCTCGTCTTTCACGAAGAAGTATCGCAGAGCGATATGCTTCGTTCTGTTCGCGAATCCGTTTTTGTTGGCGATGCGAATTGCAGATTGGTTGTCGCAGTGCAGGGTGAAGCTGGGTAACTCAGCTAACTTTGCTTCTTCCAGCAGTTCGCGAAGGTAGAGTCCTTCCTTGGTGGCTGAGCAGAGGGCGATATATTCTGCTTCAGCTGAAGAGAGAGCGATTAGTTCCTGCTTACTCGACTGCCAGGAGATAGGTCCGATAGGCTCGAGACAATAGACGTAGCCAGTGCGAGAGCGCCTGTTATCTGGATCGCCGGCATGATCGGCATCGACATAACCAATTAGTTTCGTTGACGCAGCTTCGTTCTTGTAGTAAGTCAGGCCGATCGTCGGTGTGCTTACGAGATAGTGCAGTGTGCGATCGAGTTCTGACATGTGATCTGCTTCAGGCCTCTTGAGGTAGGTAGCAAGCTGGCTAGCGGAGTAGGACAGGTCTGGGCGACAGGTGACGGCTGCGAAGAGCAGACAGCCCAGTTTTCGCTGGTAGTCGCGTATTCCGGCGGTTTTTAGTAGGATGGAGTTTCCTTGGCCGTTTCCTGCCGTGTAGCGGTATGGCGTGACGATAGCGGTAGGGGTGAGCGAGAAGCGCTTGGCGATCGTGTCGGCGTATTTCTCGGCGCTTAGATAGATTGCGTTTTCTTCTTCGCGGATGTTGAGTCCAAGGTACTGCGTGACGGTAGAAGAAACCGTGAGCGTGAGATCTTTCTGCAGCTCCCCTTCGAACCAGGTGGTGACGTCGTTGGTGGAGCCGATGTAGAGGAGATCGTCGACGTAGACGATGAGTAGGATGTAGTTGGCGCCTTTAGTGAGTCGGTACATGCCCTGGTCATGGGGCAGTTGGCGGAATCCGATGCGGATGAGGCGGGTGTGCAGGTGCTGTTGCCACAGGCGTGGGGCCTGCTTGATTCCGTAGAGGGACTTTAGCAGTTGGCAGACTTGATTGGGTTCCCCGTGGGCACCGTGAGGGAGCTCGACGAAGATGTCGGCGTCGACAGGTGCGTAGAGGAAGGCATTGGCGACATCAATTTGTCGCAGCTTCTTCTTCTTCATGGCGGCGACGGCGAGAAGAATTCGGAGTGAGGTATGTCGACTAACTGGGGCGAATGTCTCGGTGAAGTCTCGCCCTTGCTCCTGGTCGAATCCTCGCACGACCCAACGTGCCTTGAATTTCTCGATTGTACCATCTGCTTTTGTTTTGATGCGGAAGACCCACTTCCCGGTGAGAATAGTCTTGTTCCTTGCCACGCTTGCGGGAACGACCTTCCAGGTGTTGCGTTCCTCCAATGCCTTTAATTCCCCGTCCATGGCTTCACGCCATTTTTCCCTGTGTTCCCCCCCCAGAGCCTGCTGAACTATCGCAGGCTCTTTAGGAAGAGTGTTGCCGGCGGTCCCGTGGACTGCGGTGACGAGGCCAAGGATTTGTAGCCCAGTCTGTGAGTATCGAGGGAGTTCTGGATCCTCGGGATAAGCTGCTTCGTCTCCCGCTTCTGGGTCGGGGATGAAATTTGGCCCTATCCTTTCTGCTTCGTTGGTGTTGACTGTCGCAGGTGTTACGTAGCCGTTGTCGGCAAAGTGGTAGAAGACTTCGGCGTTGTTACTGTCGCAAGGATTATCTTCATCCATGGGCACATCGACGGAGCAGTACGGGAGAGGTCCGGCTTCCTCCGATGTGTTGTCGACGTTCGGTTCATCCTAGTTTGCTTCGTCCGCTGCTGAGGCGAAGGCTCGGTCACCACGAAAGCCACCTGTGGGGTCCCGATTCTCGTGCAAGTTGGCGAGGTACGTCTGAAGGGTGAGTCGTTCGTAGAAGATCACATCACGTGCTGCTACTGCTTCTTTTGTGTGAACGTCGAAGATTCTCCACGCGTTGTAATTTTTCTCGATGCCGAGGTGTAGTCCCCACTGTGCCCGTTGCGAAAATATTTCCGCTCGTGCTTCTGAGGGTCGGTACTGTACCATGCACCCAAAAACTCGTAACATTTTTGTGCTGCCCTGCTTTCCTGTCCACAGCAGATGCGGTGATGCGTTGTTCGGGAGTGACGACGACGAAAGCAAGTTGTGCAGCATGACAGCATGGTCCATTGCTGCTGGCCACTGGTGGTTGGGTAGCCGCATGCCACGTAGTAGTTCGCGCATGCTGTTTTGCAGGGTCCTGTTCATTCTTTCTGCAACACCCTGCTGCTGATGTGCGTAGGGAAGGGAGAGGAGTTGCTTGATCCCCCTTTCCGCCAGGTACTGCTTGAAGCGCTGAGAGGTGTATTCGCCACCTCCGTCTGACTGGAAGCTTTTCGGCTGCGTTCCTGATTCCCTTTCTGCTACCGGTAGCCAAGCGGCGAATGCTGCGAGTGCCATGTCGCGGCTGGGTAGGTTGCGATGCCAGACGTATCGAGTGGCGGCGTCGATGAAGGTAATCGTGTAACTATAGGCTACTTGACCTGGTTCTCGATTGTAGAGGATGTCGCTGTAGACTTTTTTGAGTGGTGCGTATGCAGGTGCGCTCGGGTTGTGGTGAGAAGAAAAAGGTCGATGTGGTAAGTCGGCCTCGGGGCAGATGAGGCAAGTCCCCCGTGCATGTTGAAGTTCTCTGCCGTCGAGAAGTAGTAGCGAGTCTTTGTCTAGCACTCCTGCTCGTATCGTATTATTTAACACCGTGTTACTTCGATGTCCTGTGCGTGCGTGCCAGATGTCTTCGGAGGCGCGGTGTCCGGGTGAACGTTGATATGCGTCGGAGTTGGAGTAGAAGCTGGCGACGAAGTTGGCGCTGCGGTGGACTTCTCGTTGAGTCGGGTTCAACTGTTGTGCGGGTGTTGGTGGTGCTTCGTCGACGATGACTGGTGTCGTTGTTCCTGCTGCTGCCGATGTTGTTGCTGCTGCCGATGTTGTCTCTGCTGCTGCCGATGTTGTCTCTGCTGCTGCCGATGTTGTCTCTGCTGCTGCCGATGTTGTCTCTGCTGCTGCCGATTGTTGAATTGTTGCTAATGCTCGTGTTCTTTCTGCTTCAGGGATGGTGTGTGAGTACTAGAAGCCTCCTGGACTGAAGTCGGGATCGAGATCCGGGGGATGCGTCCAATCGGTGAAGTTGACGATGGCGTCGCTGTCGGCAGTGCCCAAGTCGGGGACAAAGTCGAGGACGAAGACATTGTTTTTTAACACCGCCTTTCCGATGTAGAGACCGCCCTTCCCGTGGTACAACTTGAACTCCTGGGTGGTGCTGTCAGCTTCCAAGTGTATTCCTTTCGCCATCAACTGGCTAACACTCAGTAAGTTGTAGCCGAGTCCCTCCGCGATAAGTACCTTTGACATGTGTAGTATGACGTTTGTTTCTCGTGTCTGAAGCTGAACCACTCCTTGTCTTCGTGTGCGCAGGTTTTGATTGTTGGCGACCGTGATGACTACTTCTCGCTGGAGTCGATGCTCGCGTTGAACGAAGCGCCCGGAAGAACACATGTGTTGTCCGCAGCAACTGTCCAAGAACCAGGTGTCTTGACCGGACGGTTCACTTTGAGCGATTGCGGTGTACGTTGGGTTCGGTTGAAGAGATTCGCGGCGAGGCGTGCTGTTGTCAAGTTGATCTTCGGGTGAGTAGTACGGTGGTGACTCTGTTGTGCAAGAGTCGTTTATCTTGACCATGCAGTTAACAATATAGCTTGCTCCTTATGCAGGTTGTCCAGATGAAGTCGTTGAAGCTTGGTGTGCGGTCGTCGGAGTTGCTTGCGTTGAAGCAACTTGGGAGCTTGAAGGCCGGAGTTGTCGCTGTGATGTTGTCGACTGCTGACGAGACGGGCAGTGTGTGCGGGGATGACCCGAGGTCTTGTAGATGTGACAAAATGGAGGTACCGTCTTCACTTGTTGCTGTTGTCGATTGTTGTGTCGTCGCTGAGTGTGAAACGCAAACTCTGGTGCTAATGTTTTCTTCTTGTGCCTTTCTTCTTGCAGGTCCATATCCTGCTGCTCAGCGTGGATTTCGGCGCAGAGTGCCGCTTCGGAGATCCTCCCGTGTGCTCGGAGTATGGCGCGAGTGGAGCGCCAGTGGGGGCCAAGACCGCCAATGACTACCGTGACAAAGGCGTCTTCTGAGATTGACCCGCCGCATCGAAGAAGCTTGTCGCGCAGCTCGCGGCAGCGGCTGATATAAGCCATGCCTTTCTCGCCTGGTTTCATTTCAATCGTTGTCAGCTGCGCCATTAACCTGCTTTGGTTTACGCTGTCTGTTGCTTGATACAGGTTCTTCAGGTGGTTGTACGCGAGCTCCGCGGAGTTGCCGTAGCCTCGGTAAGTCCTGATGTTCTGCTGCTGGGTTGGGGTGATGTTCCTCAGCAGAATCGTATATGCCATCATCGATTGATATGTATATTGCTGCTTCTCATATTGTGTCCCGTTTGTTGGATATGGCAGGGACCCGTCGAAGAAGCCGAGAATCTGTGCTCCTTCCATCATTAGTTCAAACTCGAATGACCAGGTGAAGAAATCTTTGCCGTCGAAAGGCTTTGTCGTTTGTAGTTTTAGGACATGCGCGAATTGCGATTGGACTTGTAACGCATCCAATGTCCTTTCTTGTCCCGATGCAGGTTGCGGTTGCGGCATGAAGCTGACGGAGCCACGTTGGGGCTCGTACGGCGCAAAGGTAGGCTGCTGTTGTTGTTGTTGCATCCCGCGTGCATAGGATGAGCCGTCGAGGCTCATCGGAGTAACATTGTTGTTGTTGTTGCTGTTGTTTGACTGCGTAGGCACTCCTTGCTGGTGTTGCTCGTAGAAGGACATGAAGGAGAAAAATTTCTCCATCATGTTTGAATCGAAGCCTGCTGGTGTTTCCGTGGACCCAGCTGCTGGTCTTGCGGTAGTGCCTTCCTCTGTCTGTAGGCCAGAGGCAGGAGGTGGAGTAGGAGTAGTGCCTGGGGAGCCGTTGGAGGAGCTCCTCTCCTTCGTTGTAGAGATGTCTTCTTTCTTTGTATTTAAGTATTGAGAGAGAAAATGATCTTAAACTCTAACTGCTTGACAAAGTTTGAAGAAAGAAAGAGGATTGAACTAGCAAGAATGAGGATACAAATAGCAAACCCTAGAAGGGTTGTACTCGCTATAGAGCACCCCACTACAGGCTAGAACAATAAGATAATATTCTGACACTGCTCTCATACCATGTTGGGCTGAGAAGCTCTAGGATCTTTGTAGAGCTTAAGGACTGAATAGGATTGTAATAGCGGAAGCGTTACAGTGATTGAACCACCTTGCGCTAGTATGTGAGGGCAAAGTAAGTTGGATTGAACAAGCAAATACAAGGTTTATATAAGAGTACAAGGAATACGAATAGATTTAAACCGTTTTACTGTTGCGATTCGATACAGTGCGACTCGGGCAACTGCTCAATGTCGAGTCAGTTGTGTGTCCTTGCTGTCGCGCTGTAATTGTCGAGTCAAAGGCCGCTGACCTTTGACATTCCCGTAACCTCTAGGCGGTTACCCTAACCTCCGAGGGTTGACTCGCGATGCTTCGATTTGGGCTGCTTCGCTAGTGTCCTGAGTTTCGACACGACAGAGGCGCCTTAAGACTTATTGTTCCCAACAAGGTTCAGGCGTAGCAGCGTCAGCGTTGTCTGCATTGAACAGGGTGCGGAACAGAGTGGGGAGACGCGTGGCTGTGATGTTGGGGTACGCAAGGCACCTGATGGATTGGGGAAATGGGTGGAGAAACTGTGAGCCAGCCGAGCACTAGCAGGCCTTGGCACCAACACTCGAACGAATTCTGGATGGTGTTCTCGGCGACTTGGGGAAAACCCGATATTCGGGAGAGGGGGGGAGGGAGGGGGGGGAGGTGGGGGGGTGGCTAGGGGGCATGTACATGTATCCTCTGTACAGAGTAAACTCGGTTCTTAGAATAAAAATCCAGAGAGCTCAGAGTAGCCTACAAGAAAACTCTGATAAATCAGAGAAAACTAAACTTTTAAAAGCAAAACCCAGCAAGTACAGAGTTCCTTTCAAAAATGACTCTGATTTTCAGAGAAACAGAGTAATTTACTCGGAAAACGTGGGGCCTGGCCCTAACCCATGTGTGCCGTGCTCTCAGCCTTGCTGCTGCACGCGACGGTGGTACACTCCAGGTTGGGTGGTTCTAGCACAAACGTCACCCCGTGCGCAGCCAGGTGCGCCGTCAGCCCCGCATCCAGCACACTTAGCGGTGACGCGGATTTCATCGGCGGAACTGACTGGAAATACACTTCTTCCGGCTTAAGCGTTCTGTTTAGCGGCAGGCGGTGGTTGAAGGTGGGGAAGAGGGTGAGCGGCGGGGCGTCCAGGAGCTGCTGCGCGGTGTAGCGGCCGGGGAGGATGTGGTAACGCAGTAGCCGGTGCTGGTGCGTGGGGGAGAGGGCGGTCCAGTGCGCTAGGTATTGCCAGTGACCCAGGTTGGTGGGGACGAGCAGCTTGGCGGAGGCTGTGATGGGCTGCTGCCCGCCTTGCACTGGGTGACAAAAAATTGGTTGGGGGAGGGTAGAAAGGGGAGGATGTTGAGGGGCATGGGAGGGGGTAGGAGAGTAGGGTTGTGGGAGGGATTATATGAAGTAAGAAGGGAAGGTGCAGGTTGAAAAAAAATAGAAAGGAGGGTAGAAAGGGGAGGATGTTGAGGGGCATGGGACGAGGTAGGAGAGTAGGGTTGTGGGAGGGATTATATGAAGTAAGAAGGGAAGGTGCAGGGACTATATGACGGGCTGCTGCTCGCCATGCACTGCATTGGAAACGATTGGTTTGGCAGGGGGGAGCGGGGGTGAGAGGGAGGGAAGGAAGGGGGGGAAGGAGAGGGGGGGGCGGGTGGGGGGGGGGTGGGTTGGGGGGGGTTGAGCAGTGCTGTGTGCGTGGAATGGGAGCAGTGTGGTGCGGTGCCGTGCGAGTGGAATGAGCGTGCGGTGCGTGTGGAATGAGGTGCCGTGCAGTGCAGTGCGCTTGGAATTTGGTGCAGTACAGTGCGCTTGGAATGAGCTGTGGTGCAGTGGGGTGCACATGGAATGAGGTGAAGTGCGATGCACGTGAATGAGATGCAGTGCGGTGCGGTGCTCGCGGAATGAGGTGCAGTGCACATGGAATGAGGTTTAGTGCGTGTGGAAATAGGTGCAGTGTGGTGCAGTGCGCGTGGAATGAGCTGTGGTGAGGTGCAGTGCGCGTATGAGTTGCGGTGCGCGTGGAATGAGGTGCGGTAGGATGTTGGGAGGCATGGGAGGGGGTAGCAGGGCTTTTAGAGGGGAAAATACGCAGTTGAGAAGGGAATGTGCAGGTGGAAAGAAGAGCAAAATACGGAATTGAGATGCGAAGGTGAGAGGAAAAGGCGATAAATAAAACAAAATGGTGGAAGGGAGGCGATTGGAGAGGAGAGGGGGAGGATGCGAACGCGCAGAACAAACAGAGGCACATGGGCATGGTGGTTACAGAACTCGCTGAAAATGGCGGCGAACGAGGATAGAAACGCCTGCTGCGACACCTGCTGAAGAACAGACGCCGTTTCCGCTCGCCAGTCCGGCTCGCCCTGCGCATTCGCTCTTCGCGAACTCAGCACGGCGAAAACAAGAAGCAGGGCGACGGCGCTGCTGGCGAAATTTGCCAAAGGAGAAACAATACTCCACTGGCGATCAGCCATTGTGAATTTAACAAGCGGGGCGCTCCCACAGGATGATATGTGGCGATGAATGGTGAACAGCGCCGATATCGTCCCTAGCAGGCGCTGGAAATGCGGCCACAGGAGCAACTAACTGCTCTAAGAATAAGCTACGTTGCTCGCCAACCCTAATTAAATTTTACTTCTAGTTTCAACCGACTGCATGACGCCATGATGGTAGGAAATGAGAAACGCTGCGAGCGCGCAATGTACTGCGTGCGGGCCGTGCGGAACTCGAAGAGCACAAGGGAAGGTGCGGCAGTGGGTGATAAGGATGACGAGAAGAACCCTTCTTGAGGGGACCTGCGCTTAATTCGACTCATTTGCTTGGAAAGGGCAATTGGGTGCGAATGAAGCCCCAAGTTCCAGCTCAAAACGATGGCGTTACACGTGGCACTCCATACGTTCTCAGGTGACGAACGACCCACAAAACGTAACTTTTCACTTTCAGACGGTAGCAATAAGTACTGACATTGTGCTATGTGCAGGCATATCTTTCTCGGCCTTTTGGCTAAGATCAAGTGTAGTATCTGTTCTTATCAGTTTAATATCTGATACGTGGACCATCGGTCCACATGATATTAAATTAATTTCTTTCGGGGGCAGGTGCCAATGGCCAGCTTGCTGGTCGGCCCTGCAAGCGTCACCTTGGTACTGCACTAACTCCAAGGAAGGCGCACCCCCCCCCAATAGGGGTCCAAATTAAATTATGAAAAGGGATCTGAGTTTGTATGAATGCCATGTGTGAAATACTTCATGTGGATGGACATTTTGAGCACAAGGATCAATTCTTTGATGGGTACATTGTGCAGAAGTTTATGGTGCCCACTCTGTCAAAAAGTCTGCAGCATTGTTTCAGAAATACTCATGCAAACAAACCAAATCAACCATCCTGTGATTCCATAAGGCATTCCTAAATTTGCTTGTCCAGAAGGCATTCTTCAAGCAAAACATCATTTCAGTGCAATATAAAAGTTGCACATGTTGAAAGTTGCTTCAAGCGACTCGAAACTGTTCTCCACAAGTCTTTTTAGTGAATCACAAAACGAAACAGAATCTCCCCCTAACAATAGAAAAGACTGTTAGCTGCCCCCTCTAGGAGTACCACCACCAGCACCCACCCCCCCTCTCATCCTCCTCGCTCATCCCCTCACTGTCCTCCTCATAAGCAAGTCGCCCCGGCATACCCTCCATGCGGGTGGGCACGGCTCTCAGAAAGTGACTACAGCGGAATGGGTTGGATTGAATGTGTAGAGGTACAATGTTAAGGAACATTAGGCTTAGGAGCCTGGGGTGAAAGCAAGATGACGAGAGAGAAGCCAAAAGAGGGGGTTGCACTATGTTGGGAATATAAACGCATGACTTGCGTTTCTGTAGTATCGAACCTCACCCGGAACTGAAGCACAACAAAAGGGGTACGAAGTCGAAAGGGCGCGTACCACATCAAACCGCAACTGGAGGTTGCGAGCTGTAACCGCCTGGAGGTTACGTAACAGCAAGCGACGCTTCAGTGAACAGTAACTGCCTCGATAGTCGAAGCGTTACGCGTCTCGATAAACATAACCGCTTCATGTAATCTATCTTTCCTATATATTCCTGTATGCTCTTTGCTTTAATCAATTACTTGTTTTCACACACCAGCACTAGGCCCCACGTTATCAGAGTAAATTACTCTGTTTCTCTGAAAATCAGAGTCATTTTTTAAAGTAACTCTGTACTCGCTGGGTTTTTTTTTTTGGAACTTAAGATTTCTTTGATTTGTCAGAGTTATGCTGTAGGTTACTCTGAGGCCTGTGGGTTTTTTTCTCAGGGACCGAATTTACTATGTATAGGGAATACATGCCCCCTAGCCGAAACCCACCCACCAGGTGTCAGAATGAGGAATGAATGGTTCCATTGATGTTGGTTGGGGTACATATAACAAACCCTAACTTCTGTACCCCCTAAGACAAACCTCACTACAGGCTACAACATTTGACACACCCCCATAGCCTAAGTGAGGGGTGTCTAGCAAAATCAAAAAGACTATGGTCACAAGACCAGTCCAAAAGAAAACAAAGCTCAAGGTGGATCATAACGTCACCACACACTCTGAGCACAAGCAACAGTGGCCACAAGGCCAGTCCAAGAGATCACAAGTATATATAGCAAGTGTACAGACGAAGCAGGCAATAAACTCAAGTCTACACATGACTAGAACCTGTGTCAACAAGGCCTAACTGCACACAACACCTCTGGTGGTCACAAGGCGGAAGCGCCTTGGTGAAGATGTCTGCAGTGTTGGCCTCGGACTCCACGAACTCGAAGCGAGCCTGTCCACGTCTCTGCAACTCTCGCAGAAGAAAGTACCTGACGTGAATGTGCTTCACTCTGCTCTCCAGTCGCGGCTCACGACAGAGGAGGATCGACGCCTTGTTGTCAGTAAACAAGGTCGGTGCAGAGCTCGGCCGCTCACCAAGGTCGGCGAGCAAGAAGGTCAACCACCGCAACTCCTGTGCCGCCATGGCACCAGCGTAAATCTCAGCCTCAGCTGTAGAGGTCGAGACAGAAGAGGAGCGCGTGGAACGCCAGGAAACAGCTCCAGAACCCAGACTGAAACAGTACCCCTGAGTAGATCTGTGGGTCTCAGCGTCGTCAGCGTAAGAGGAGTCACAGTGACCAGTGAGTACGACAGACTGCTGCCCTCCAAGAACTAGCCCCACGCCTGATGTAGTCGCTAGGTACTTCGCCACCCTCACAGCTGCCGTCCAGTGAACAGGACGGTGTCTCCCTGGCGCAACAAAGCGCGCAAGGATGCTGAGAGGGAAGGCGAGGTCTGGGCGAGTACAAGTCATCAGGTACATGAGGCAACCCACAAGCTCTGCGTAGGGACCACTAGGCTCAAACGGCTTGTCAGGAAAGGGACCAGTGAGTCTGTGGTCAACAGCGAGAGGTGTGCGCTGTACGGTGGAGTGCTGAAGCCCGAACCGCTGAAGGACCTGCTGCACCATGTGTGACTGTGAGAGTGTAATGGTGCGAGCGGCTCTGTCCCTGGTGATCTGCAGGCCAAGGTAGTGGTGCAACTCACCAAGATCAGTGCACGTCTGTCTCTTCTGCAGTTCGGACTTCACGTCTGCCAAAGCAACCCTGTCCGGAGTGGCGAAAACGAGGTCGTCGACGTAGACCAGGACAAAGAACGGTGTGGAGCCACGACGAACGAACAGCGACGGGTCGGCAGAAGACCGCTGGAACCCAAGGTCAGAGAGGGTAGAACGCAGAGTGTCGTGCCACTCACGAGGGGCCTGGCGAAGACCGTAAACAGGTCGCCTCAGCCTCCACTGGGTCCCAGGAGGGAAAGTGCCAGTGAAGGCCGAGGGACGACGCAACCAGACCTCCTCGTGTAGGCTGCCCTGAAGGAAAGCAGTGGAGAAGTCGAGAGAGTGTAACTCGTAGTCTCTCTGTGCTACTACGTGTAGTAACACCCGAAGAGTGGTCATCTTTGGGGTAGGTGCGAAGGTCTGAAAGAAGTCAACTCCCTCGCGCTGACTGAAACCTCTAGCCACGTAGCGCGCCTTGAAGACCGGGGGAGATCCCGGTGGCCGCTTCACCCTGTAGATCCACATGCCGTCGACTACGTTCGCCCCAGGGGGGGGAACCTCATAGACGTAGGTGCCTGTGGATCTATAGGAGGCCATCTCTGCGTCCATCGCAGCTCTCCACTGAGAGGCCCAAGGCCCTGACACTGCCTCAGCGTAAGTGCGAGGAGTCGGAATGTCAAGGGCGTCGGGGTCACCCTCAGGGGCGAGGAGCATGGCACAGAGATGAGGGGAAGCGGCCGCCAGGAACTCTAGCTCAAACTGCCTGTCCTCTAGGGCGTCACACCCAAGGGCAGACACACCCCCGACGGCCAGAGGACTGGTAGGAGGAGCAGCCACAAGCGTGGTGGTGTAGTCAAGGCGACGCGTAGAGGCAACGTGAGTAACTGCGGCAGTAAGAGCGGACACAGAGGACACAGAGGACACAGAGGCACGAGGGTGAGTAACAAGAGAGGCGAGAACACGAGAGAGAACAGGACGGTACGTGCGGTAGTAGTTAGTGACGGGAGCAGGGAGCGACACGGTGAGGGCCGACTCAGGAGGAGACGGAAGCACAGACTGAGACGGACGAGGTGGACTAGAACAAAGTAAGGCAGTACGAAGGTCAGTGAAGGGAACAGGAGACGAGGGACGAGCACGAGGCGAGAGCTTGTCCGCGGAGGTGTCGCGGACACGAGTCAAGCACCCCCAGAAACGAAACCGCGACGCAACACCAGGGGACCCTGTCCAAAGACTGGTCGGTGAAACCTCTGGTCGAGAGACACGTGGCCAGAGGTTCAGCTGGTGCGCGGCGTACCTGACCGCATAGGGCCACAGAAAATGGGGGGCACAGGCGTGAGTCAGGGAGGTGCGGGCGATCTCCATGACCAGGCCTATGCGGCGCTCAGCAACCCCATTCTGCTGTGGGGACTCTGGAAGCGTCCAGGACTGACGAATGCCCTTCTCGCGACAGAATCCAGCGAGAATGCCGGAGCGAAACTCACCCCCACGGTCGGAGTGGAGACAGCTGACACGACGACCACGAGTGTCCTCGGTGGTGAGCAACCACCTGATCAGCGTAGAAGTCACCTCAGACTTCTTCGCCAGAGGGAACACTGTGGTGTAGCGGGAGAAGTCGTCAACGACCACCAGAAAGTAACGCTCACGCTCAGGGCCTAGACGAGGGGCGGGGCCCCAGACGTCCAAGTGAAGCGTCTCAAAAGGCTCGGTGGCCGGACGAAGGGAGGAGGAGTGAGGGGTGGCGCGCAGCCTACCCTCGACGCAGGGACGACACGGCGGCGCAAGCGAAGGCGGCAGCGACGGCAAGACACGTGGGAGGCCTAGGACAAGACGCTGACTAGACATAGCGCGCAGACGAGGAAGGGATGGGTGCCCCATCCGGTGGTGCCACAGAACGGTGGGGTGGGC